ATAAATAAGACCCTTCATTTGATTTTTACTCATGTAAAAACCTATTTTAATGCTTATGCCCATTGCAGAATCCCTCACTTCCCTGATCACCAACTCTCATCTTCCACAGTTGTGCATGCATCCACAGTAGAAAATAATACATCATGATGCAACTGCTCTAAAATAGGCCTCGTTCTGCATGACACCGGTTTTCTCAGCTTATCATAGAAAGGCAGTCTAAATCCCTTGGGAAACAGAACCATACAAGTATGCAGCAGCTAGGGACATTTTAAGAGTCTGTTTCAATGGTAGGGACCGTGAGGGCATCCCAAATTCTATGGCTGGCTGTCATAATTGAAGTGTTAATAAAACCAGCAGTAGAGCAAGACAGAGAACTACCTCAGCATTTTATTTCATTTGGAACAGCCAGGATCTAGCGCCCTGCATTAGACTCTGCCTTTGTCACTAGCACCTGCTAATGCTACATATTATACTGTATTCAGTTCCATTATAGCCGTTATCCAATATCCTGGGTATTCAGAATACTCCAGCCATGATGCATATTTTTCTGACACCCCTCTTATTACTTATTTTCCAAAGGAAAAAAAACCCAAACAAAAAAACCCAACCAAATATCTAAATCAGACTATTTACAAGAGTTCAGGTGTGATGGAAAGTATATCTGCAGTTTAACTTACGGATTTGATTTGATTTCCAGAGAGTTGCAACAGGCACCATTGCCTTTGACTTCTGGAGCAGTTTCTGCAACCTTCCAGAAACCCTCCTGATATTTAAGGCTAAGTTGGCAGGACCTAGATATTGAACCAACTAGACTGGTTCTCAAAACAAATGCCCCTAAAAACCTTGTTAGGTAGAATATAAAGCAAACCAGATTCAGTTTTCAGAAGCAAATGGGCATCTCTGTGTTATGATGATACCCAAGGGGCAGGTCTGCTGCACTGAACAGACTTCATCCATATTCCTTTATCTCATCTTTGATTCTTGCAAATAAAGGTTTCCCCTTTCTGAAAATTTTTTTATATTTTACATATATCTTACCTGGTGATATATTACTGTTTATAACTCATAAGCTGTAACTCGTGAGCCTTTAAGTACCAATTCATCAGTTTGGGGATAAGAAAGAAAGATAGTTTATTGGATTCAGAGGATCCATTGTCTTCTTCCTTCTGGTTCTTTGTTTGTTCTTTTTTTTGGTTTTCAAACAATAGTCAACATTGTAGCATGGTAAAAAATGAAACAGTTCTAACACAGAATGTACTTAAAACAGTTTAAATGGACAGGCATCCTGATAACTATTTGCCTGTCTGGCTTAATAAAAAACACTGAAATTGTCTAACTTTATTTGTTGAAAATAATACCAAAAATGTTTCTGAATGTATAAATAAAGCAGCAGAGTTCTGAATAGAAACCGGAAGGTACCTCAGCATACTCATCAGCCACATGGTAGCTACCTTGTAGCCTCATTGTTGATAGTAAATGAGACTTTTTTTGTGTAACAGAACGTATACAGAAACAAAACAACACATGTTTATTTCATATTCAATTGAATTGTGCCTGGGGTTATCTCTATTTGTACAAAGAATTCAGAGAAAAAGAGAAACAGTGTAAAAAGGAAGAAAATAAGGCTAGCTTGTTTTTCCCCCCTACCGCTTCTGAATGGGGACACCCTTCTCCAAGGACAAAACTCGTGTGCCACTCACAAAAAGTAAACAGCAATGTGAAAGCATGTGGAAAAGAAAATAAAAAGCTAGAGGCCTTTTTTTTTTTCTTTCTTTTTTTTTTTTTTTACAAAATAGAGGGAAAAAACATTACTTTTCTGGGGCCTGGTATTCAGAATACTAAAAACTCCATTTGAAGGCAAAGAGAGTTTTAAGTAGTTTGACTCTCCTGAAAACCAAGCCCTGTATCTATGGTGGCTAACCAGATGAGTTCCCATTTTTCTCTTTGACGTGTTGCATATATAGCAGCCTTTTGCTTGGGTAACCCCACCCCACACCCCCCACTATGTTAAAAAATAAGGTACTACTTTAGTAATTTTAAAAAAATATGCTTTTTTTTTTTAAAAAAAAAGATCAGTTAAGGGAACCATAGATCTCACTTAGAATCAGGGTGGCTGAATCAAGTTAATCCAATATAAAAATGATTGATATTTTATTTTTTTAAATGGATACCCTGTTTCTAATGCACCACAAGAACTGTAGTGAAGCTTCCCCTTTCTCTTTGATGGAGGAAAGTTCAATTGTTTGGCTTCGTGTGTGTGTGTGTGTGTGTGTGTCTTTATTTAAATGCTGCTTTTCTGTAATCTTCTTACAGAAAAATCACTTGTTTTACTCTGGCTTGCTTCTCTATTTTTTGTTTGTTTGGAAAAAGCAAGTATTTTAATCAGCATTTTTCATTGTAAAATAGTTGTCATTCCTAAAGTAGATTTCAATGGATCCAATTTAGGTACTGTCTTTTGCCTAATCATACTAATTAGTGATTGTCAGCCAACAAATTAAGAAAGCAGAACTCATAGAAGGGAAAATGAATTTCTACTTCCTGCCTGCATAACAGCATTAATCTAAGCAATTTTTAATTTTCCCTTTGAGAGAATTTAAAAGAGAACCAAAATTTGCTTTTTGTGGCATCTAATCGGTGATTCAAATGCATTACTGAAAAACAGATGTAGAATCAAGGTGGCTATGCATGCTGGAAGATGACAAAGACTGAGGTGAGGAAATGAATCTGTGGGATGTTGGAATTCAGAAGGAAGACTGTAGTTTTGGTAGAAATACAAAAGAACAGGCAATGTAACAAAAAGGTCATAGAAATTAAAGCCCAACTCAAGACCAGTTGGTAACCCAGATGTCCTCGCACTGAATTTCTCCAAAACACAGCAGGTATGTGTTTCTAGTACCAATTACTCTGAAATTTTCATTATGAACATAGGCAGTATGTAAAACACCAGTGGAAGATAGTTTAAACAAACAAAAAGTAAGAACTGGTCCGGCCATGTAGGTCAAATAAAGATAAAAAAAGAAAAAAAAAACTCTATCTTCTGGACTGCGTTAGGGTGTCACTTCATCTTTGGTATAAAATAGGCCATCCATAGGCTGCATTTGATCACAACTAGGAAAGACTACAGAAATTGTCAACAATTTCTTCTATCTATTGCTTTTTTTGCACTTTTTTGACCATAAGCTCCTATCTACTTAAGTTTTTTTTTAATGCTCTTAAGCTAGGTTTTTGCAATGTGACAAGCAAAGCAGACTAAAAACTTCTTAAAGCTCATAAAAAAGACTGCAGATAAAAAGCACTAATGCTTTTGCTAGCGATCACGCTTTGTAAATAAAAAAAATCTGCATTCTGCAAGAAAAAAACCCTGCATTTTTTATAATGCAGTTAGTTTTTTTCTCAGTTCAATAACTTTACTGTAAAATGCTTTAGCCTTCTAGAATTTTTTTTCTGTCAACACTTAAGACAAAGTTCATAAAAGTCCCAGCACTTTTTCCAATCCTCTCAGTTGCCACAGTTCTTTAATCATCAAGTTTTCTTCAAAAGAAGAAAATCATTTTCTTTTAAACTGTACAGGTTTTTTTTTGTTCACCCCAAAAATTCAGTCTATTAAACTTCCACACCAGCTGACACTGGTGTAAGCAGGTTTCAATTCCTTCTCGGGTTTTCTAACAAGACGTTGACAGCTTGCCTTGAGAGCCTTTGACGTCCTTAAAAATTAAGGCAATTAAGATTCAAGATAAACCTTACCTAAACATTTCTAAAAAAACCTCAAAACAAAACAAAAACACGCTAGATTTAAAACAAGAAGGAAAAATATGAGAAAAAGAGTAGCTTAATTTTTTGAGGAAGACCATTAGTTTTCATCTCAGCTTGCTCCCTCTTGACATCATCGGTTTTGCTGTTTTTCTAAAAAAAAAAAACCAAGAAAAAAAAGAAAAAAAAAGAATCTAGCTATACCTCCAGGTAAATTCTGAATTCAAATGTTCATCCAGATGAAATGTTAACCCAGTGTTTTTCCTTTGGGTTTTCTCTTTATTTAAAAAAATTATAGCAAAAATAAAACTGTCAGACTACATGACGGAACCATTTGCACAGCACATAAAAACACTGTTTTGTTTTCATTGGGAAGGGTAGAAAATAAAAAAAAAAGCATTCGTTTGACGCCTGTGCAAACTGGAAGCCAACTTCTTGTTCAATGAAGTTTCTCCATTCAAGGCAAAGATTTCAGACAGACATTCTTCAGTCTTGTTTATTGTCTGTAAAAACAATTGAATTAAAATGGTCATTAAGTCAAAACAACTTTGAAATAAGCTCCTGTCCTTTTTTCCACCCAATTCCCTTTAATAGGTATCCAAGAAAAATGAACTTTGCAGCTGTTTAAATATGATACAGGCACTAAGCTGAAAATAGTGAGGCAGAAGCAAAGTATTTGTACTTGAGGGGCATTCACGCATTTTAATGCTGAAGAATTTACTCCTTTTAATGCTGTGGTTAATGGGTAGTCCTGCTCATTGAAATGAGAAGAATACATGCTTTAATTCTATGTAAATACTTCCAGGGTAGTAAGGCAGCAAAGGGAATTCTACTCGCTGTATTAAGTGGCCCTATTTGTTTTGGCCACTAGTAGTAAAATTAAAAAGTTAAAAAGATAAATTCAATTCGCAAACAAGAAGATATTTTCTGATGGGAAAATAACTTCATGGTGGTCTAGTTATTAATGGCTGATTCAGTAGAAACACTTAGGCTGATATTGATTAAATAGGTGAAACATTAAAAAACACAGTGTGGAATCTATCTAGTTTAACACAAGGGACATGGTCTACATGATACATCATGCCCTTTTATTCCTATACCCCTACAATAAAATAGCTTATTAATATTTTTGAGATGTAGTACATGTAAACTTGAAGTATCAGAAAAGTCTAATCTTGGCAAGACATATGATCTTTCTGTGAAGGTGGAGCTGTTATTAAAAATATTGTCTACTGGCCTTGTTATAGGGTAATTTTAGGTGACTCCTGGAGCTCTTACCACCTGGATTGCACACACAGTAACACCTTAAAGTAGTTTTAAGCACTCCTATATGGATTAAAGTTGCATTATTTCAGGGCAGGATTATCTCTGATCTGTGTTACCCAGCTCATGTCACATTATGGTGTAACTACTCTAGGCTACAGTTTAGTGCCTGGACTGGACCCACTGCCCTATCCCCCCATATCCCCACTCACTATCCTCCCTCGGTTTACTTGTGGCTGTCTGCAGTATCTCACAGAGCAGGCAGGGAGGGGTTAACTTGCCTGCCTCGATAGTTCCACTGCTGCTGCTGCTGCTCTCCTGGGCAGGCTCAGCCCAGAGACGAGCAGCAGTCCTGCACCTTGGTGGAGGAAGCCAGGCAGGCAGTTTAATCCTTTCTTGATTGCTCCCCAGGACAGGGGGCAGGGAGCCACAAGTAAGGAATGGAGGGGGGGAGGGTGAGACCCTTTTCTTTTCTTTTTATTAATGAGATAACACAGAAAATGTTTTAATGATTTCAAAGATATGCCACATAGCCACCCTATCTGAAGCCATAAACATGAAACTAACTTTAACTTAAAAACTTAAATTCTGCAAACAACAACAGTTCATTCAAATTTTTATCTAAAATGATTGCAGTTAGTATTGTGAAACAAAAAAACACCCCCAGGTATAGTGATGGCAGAATGTGACATTTCTTTATTTCCTTAAGGATTTGATAAAGCCATTTCCTCATTCATTACTGACCATCCTCTACTGGTACCATAAGGGGAAGTGGGGGAGGGGGCATGAGTCAACTGCAGTTTCTAGGATCTTTGTTCCCTAACAGGATGATGAAAATGATACGTGAATTTGAGTTGCATCCTCTCAAAGTGGGCTCCATGACTTATTACCCTTACTCAAAGATTTAGAAGCTCCTAATCACTGCTTTTGCACTGAGATTTTTGTTATGATCTCAAAGGGGAGTTGACACTTGTATAAATGAGGACTGATTAGGAGTGTTTGTGGCCTCTTTGTATTATGGTTGTTACCTTTTTTCCTTGGGTTCAGTTCCCTTCTCCCTTCACCTATTTTGTTTAAACTAAGCCAGTAGTCACCTTCTGTGGTTTTCCTGCCCATCTGAGTGTGCTCCTTAGATTGTTGGCATGGGTCTCATTAAAGTGACTGACGTACTCTGGGCTTCTCTGTAAAGTTTCTTGGGAGACCAAAAGTCTGTTCTTTTATGAGGTTTCCCCAGGCAGTAGTAATCTTTAATCTGGCATTGGATTTATCCTCCCTTCCAACCATGGCTCCAGAAAACCTTCCCACCCACTGCTTAAAGCCCAAGGCCTGATGTCCAGCAGAGAGATCTTTGCTAAGAGGCAAGAGGGTGGCGTTCCCATGAAAAAGAAGTGCCATTTAACTTGACTTTCAAGATTTCATATTATTATAAGTAAATTTATGAGCTTTTCAAGTGAGAGAAATACTGTTTAGTTTAAAATGGGTGAGGTATCTGTCTAATGAAGTAGAATAGAATGCTCAAAGTCAAAGAACAGAATGCCTACTTCATTCTTAGTGTAATTCCATATGTATCCTTGGAAGACATAGATATAGCATATAAGCCTTATGTTTAGACATACTAGGAGAGAATCAACATTCAAGGAAGCCATATAGTATAAATGTAAAGAAAATGTAAATAAGTACATTCTTTACAGTATAAATGTAAATAATGTGGTTCCTAGTTAAAAAAAGAGCTAAATGTACCCTAATTTAACTCTCTATTTTAATATATAAGGCCAGTACAAAATCCTTTTCATGCTCAGTTCATTTTTAAAATACTTTTGTCCTCTTTTTGTTTTCAGGTTTGTTTCCAGGATGGTAAAAAATAGTTTCTGATTCATTCTCTAAGGTTCTGCATCTTTCCTTGCCTATAAATGATAAGATCAACACCTAATCATGTTAATTACTTCTTTGTTGATGCTTTAGAAATTGTTGCTTAATATTGAGCCAAATTTTTACTATTGTAAAATGCACTTTTCAGAAATACAGATGTATAGCACATAATATTTTGCGAGGTGAAGAAGAGCTGGGCATGGAAGGGGGAGGGCAGAGATGAAGCCTCCTCACAGCCTTTTCTTGTGACATTAGTCTGCATATCCAATGAATAACAAATCTGTAGAATTTATGCTTCCTTACCAGTTACAAATCTTAATCAAATTGTAGTGAGGTAAGCATAGTGTATCTGCCTAAACAAGTTATATATTTTTCCATAACTTGATTTCTAACATAATCTTTGATAAATACTGAGTTCAGCGTGAGCAGTACACATTGAAGAAATGACACTTAAGTCATACATAAAATGGTGGGGGTCAAGTAAAAGTCTGTAATTAATTACATTGTTGGAACTTAAGTGGTAGAAATTCAATGGAGTCATTCCATTGGATTCAGTGGACTTATAATGAATGTATATTGCTGCAGCTAACAGTAGATTTAACATGCTTTAGTCAAGAGGTAAAATCATAGCTGGCCAAGGGGTCACTAAAAACAGTTTACTTACTTAGACTGTTGGTAAGAATATGCAGGCGCGTGTTCACTGGATGTTTCCACTGTCATCTGTTGCTGTTGACCACTGGCTTCCTGTGATGAAGATGCTACTGTCTGCGGAGAGGTATCAGCAACAACACCCTAAGGAAGCAAATAGGGACATGAAAAATTTACTGATTTTAATCCCACCAGTGAACTGTATGGAGGCATTCAGCATTGTCTTACCACTTCTTATTTTTCAGCAGCTGGACTGTTGCTTTCTATAACTGAGAGTGCCTTGGATAGCAAAAACCATATGCTGATATGATATAATTGCCATCTATGTAACCAGTAATCCAGCCCAGCAATGAGAAATGTCTCAAATATGCAAAGTGCCTGAAGCCCTTCACTCTAACATGCAGCAGTGAAAAATTATGGGGGAATTCTTGACCTTGTGGAAGCCAGAGGCAAAAATCTCAGTGGTTTCAATCGAGTTGAGATTTCATCCTACATATTTTATCATTACATATGCATGGTTGGTCTGATTTTTAACTCACTTATAACAACCTCCTTTTATGCTTACACTGACTTCTCTTGAGTTGTACCAGTATAAGAATAGGATCAAGGCCTACAGGATATTTCAATAAAATAATGCATATTATGCAGAATCTGTAGCATGCTCTGCACAATATTTGCACCGATACGGCATTTTTATTTGAAGCGTTTTTTCTTGTAAGGCAAATTTAAGATAAACTAAAGATTTTACATAAGGGGACACTGTACCAGGTAGGCTCTGCTTTTATTTATAGGTTTAATTGTAATTTTATATACAGGCATGTAGTCAACATTATGTGCATGTGATTTGAAAACTTGCAATAATGTTTTGATAATAATCATTTATTTCCATTTTGACATTTAAAAAATATATTATTCTCTACAAGCTTGTTAAATGAGCTGCATTCTATTTACTTCTATGTTAGTACATCAATGATGCCAGGTTTACTTGTCTCGGAACAGAGTTTGTTAGTGTATTGTATGCCATGGAGCTAGAAGAAGAACCATCAAGAGCTCACATTTTGTTTTCATCTGAATCCTATATATATAAAAAAAAGGGTAGGTCATTTTAGATTTCTCACAGAAAAAACTGTCAAGTTCTTTCCCAAAGGTTTTAGACATGATTCCCCCTTGAATAGGGAGATCCATATAAACTTGTCATTTCCATCTATGCCAAATGTCTGCCTACATCTGGCTGTTGCTCCTTAGATTAAACAAGACTGCAAGATTTTTGGGGCAAGGAACATAGTTTGCTTTCTGTTTGTAGGATGCCTAGTGCACTGGGGGACTTGTTCCTAACTGAGGCTCTGTTATTACAAATAAATATCACCACCACTACCACCACCACTTCGTAGCAAATTTAGTGTAGGTATCAGCAAACAGGGTAATTGTGCTGCTTTAATAACTTACAAAGCTATTCAAACCAAGTAATGCTATACATATATGAACAAAACAAAGCCTGGTTTAGGGTGAAATTATCTTTAAGCAATGAAAATTTAAACAAGACAAGCTTAGTATGACAAAATGGTTGTCATTTCCTACCATGTGGGAGTTCATTTGAGATTCTTAGTATTTACAACCAGAGACACTGGAAAAACCATGGTGGAACTACTTGAGCACTGGTGAAAATATACCAACATAACTGCTAACAGAGCATCCCCACCTAGTCAATCCATGGAGCAGTCACAATATCAGCTCCAGTCTAGACACAGCTGATGAAAAAGTAACGGAGCTCATAGTATCCCTCATGTTATCACAGAATAAGGGAAAATTATTAACAAAATGGGGCAGAACCAAAGAGAATAATACAAAATTTAAGAGGAATGTACCTTTAAAAAAAAAAAAAAAAGAAAAGAAATCAACCAAACCTCCCTCCTTCTGTTTTGCTCACAATCCCTCATGAAGATGCACAGCAGTGGAGGTTGAGCTGAAGTGCTCCCAGCACCTTGTGATCTACAGGATTGAGTAAATACTTACTCATTAGAATGTCATCAGCATGACTCAGCCCCAAGAAGGGAGGGAGCGAATCCTTCCTCAAGGATGAAAAAGCACTCAGTGCAGCATCCTCCACGTCTGTATATACAAGAGGAAGGTTTCCATTGCTCAATCGCTTTTTCTGGGTGCTGTATGTTTTCAGCAATTACCTACACTGTCAAACCCTCTTGGCAATCTTCTCTTCTTGACTCCCTTGGGCTTGCTTGCTGGTTTTGTTTTCCTGCTTTGTCCCCATCTCCCTCCCAAATATATGAAAAGTCACCAGTGGTTTATTCCATTTGCTGAGCATGGCAAATCAAATGCAAACACAAGAGCACTTGCAAAATTTCCGAAAAAAGGAAAAAAGGAAAAGAAATGAAAAGAAATAGAGAAGTGGGCAATCCTGACTTTAAGAGCAGTATACATTGTGATAGGGGAAAGTAATTTTTCACCCTTTTTAATACAATACATTTAATGAGACATACATTTGTGATTCATTTCCCCTTCACTCTATTTCATGAATGGAGGTACACTTACTTCAATAGGGACAGCTGTTGGAGGCACAGGAGTGTACTGGGGAATGTAGGTCCCTTGCATAGGAGCAGCAGCAGTCATATACTGGAATTAATCAAAGGTAAATAAATATCAGGTACATGTTAGAAAGAGAAAACCAAAATCAAACTACAGAGGGATATATTAGAAACATTACACAATTTTATTTTGTCACAGTACAGAGTTTATTGCCTGGTACATTCTATAAATTTAGTTACATTTATTAATAAATTTAATTCATGAAATGAATTAACAGCTAATCATTATATTCCTTGATCTTGTAAGTGATGTCACATATCACTGCAAGCAACAGAGAAAGTGCATGGTCTACACTAGTGGTTCTCAACAGTGAAGTACTGTGAGATCCTTTCAAAGATGCTGGGGGGTACCATGCAATGTCAGCACTGTTAGGTGGATAAACATGATTCAAGATAAAACTAGACATTTCAAAGAGGAATTCATGGCGTTAAAAGCATTCTGATCAGTTGTGATCTTTCTGAGTTCTTTTCAATAGAAGTACAGTATTACTCTATTATTGGTCTACTATTTTTCTGTTATCAAAAACGGTGAAAAGTAAGAGCTGGTATTTTACAAGGGGTATCTTGAGTCTAAGGAGGAGTGCCTTGAGTCTAAAAAGATTGAGAGCCACTGGTCTGCGCTGCTGATGGATTTATATTATATTATTTGTCATATGCTTTTAACTGGAAAGAATGGTATTTGTATTTATGAACAAAATAGCAAGATGACAATTGCAGTGCACCCTCAGAATTTTTGTTCATGGTTACATAAAAATCTAAACAATCTCTTAGTATCTACATATACAAAAAATCAGTCGTGAGATCATTCCATCATTTCACATTACCCTTCTACCACACAAATTAAAACAATCAGGTCTCTGGGCTATGGGAAGGAGGATAAAGAGTGAAAGAGAAAGAAGACACTATGGGTGTCATCTACACATCACTCTATGGTGACATAACAATGTGCTACGTCGCCATATGGTGCACAACAGCAATGTAGCAATCATATGGGTCTACACAAGATCAGTAGCTATGTTGCTGTAGCGGTACACTCCCCTGGTATAGTGTGCCTCTACAGTGATGTAGTGGCAAAATGTAACTGTGCACCATGCATAGGAAGTACTAAAAGGAAGTACTAAAGCATGATGCTGTAGCAACATTGCCATATGGCAACATGTAGACACACCCAATAAGTATCTGAGAGCTTGCCCCTTCATAGCTAGGAGCACTAACTGAACATTCTTCTACATATGAATTATTTTTAATACCCACGAAGTCTTAGATATCTTGAAACTTTGCCAAATTACATTAACACACAGTATTAACTGCCGTAAGATTTTCTCCCTCCCAAGCATCCTAAGAACTCATTCTTCAGCTAACGGCGAATAAGAATTTTTCTTCCTTGAATCAGCCTTTCTTAAGCAGTTCTTGGATGAATGCAATGGATAGTTATTTCCTTAAATGAGGTATTGAAGTAAAGGTTTCAAAACAGTATACTTGTTCTCTCCACTACACACTCCTACCTGTATATAATCAAAAAAGAAAACCACAGAATATGCTCAATCTCCCAATTGTCTGCCTGACACCTGCAATACATGTTATCTTCAAAGATGCACTGAGGAGCTGAATCTACTCAGAATGTATTTGATGTATTGCTGTAGATACTGTTTCTTGACCAGGGAATTGGTGCATATAGTAGTGTTCAGTGTTTCCTTAATGAATGCTAATCAGCTACTGACTTAGACCCAAGATACCTGTTACACTAGTCACAAGAGGGCTACTTTCTTGCCTTGAGGATTAGGAGCTACAGGGAGTCCTGCAAAAGACTGAGCTAGTTCTGTTTCCACCTCATTCACTTTTCTGTCAAGTAGTGCCACCCAGTAGACAATGCTGCTCTCAACTGATCACTGTTTAAATCCACAATTACTATTAAATATCCACTGAAGCTTGTTCCTCTCAAATAATCATTTTTAAATTAAAACCATCTGTCTGAAGAATGGAAAGTGCTATTCAATGTCATTTCCTTCAAAGTTCTTGATTAAACTCAGCAGAAAATCACTTCATGAGATATGACTACCATCATCATTGTTTGTATACAAACAAGTACATAAAATCTTATTATCTGCCAGAAAACTAGTTTTAACTTCATACCACTCCATTTGTTTCAATAACCTTGAGTGGCATATCCCAAAGGATAACTATATTCTAACTATATATGAATTGAGATTTATTTTTATTAGTTCTAAATATACTACATTTTGTAGTGTAAGGAAATCAAGGGAGTTTCCCAGTTCTGCCTTTAATTTACTGTGCTGCCGTACAAAGCCATTTCTTCTCTATAGCTCATTATATCTCTTTGATAAAATTATCATAATACAGATTATTCATTTTTTGATTTAAAGTATCTTTAGCTCTGTGCTTCAGAACCAGTATGGGACAAATTCACCGATCTACTGAAGTACTTGGACTTGTAGTGAAAGAAAATTTGGCTCTTTAAATGCTAACGGAGGCCCAATAATGCAAAGAGATAAAGCAATATACCATATTTATTTGACTGTAAGATGACCTCCCTCTAGTAGTTAGATCCTATATATGAAAAATTTATAGATTTGTTATAATTTTGCAGAATCTAATTATTGGAGGTTTGCCTTGAATTTGTCTGCCTTCCACTGATACAGCAGGGAAAATAAATCGGGGAGTGGGGGGGGGGGTTCAATTCAAATCAGCCCAATCAACTCCAAAACCATGAGTCATTCAAGAACCAAATGTGGCACTACTACCAGCAAACATCCTCCACCCCTGCTGGGGCCCTCACATGCTTCCAAATCCTTTGGCAGGCAGCCTACATCCAGGCCCACATCCAATAACTTGGGTTTTGGATGCCCCTGAGTTTGGCTTGCCCTCAAGCAAATGGTCGAGGAAGGATTTTTTTTTTTAATTAAATTTGTATCTGAGGCCAAATTAGCCCAAACTAGTTCCAAATCCAAGAGTCCAGAACCATAAGTTGTCCTATTACCAGCAAACATCCTCCACCCACATGTGGGGCTTCAGATGTTTCTAAAACCTTTGGCAGGCATCCTACTTGCAGGCCCAAGCCCAGAGGCTTGGGGTTTGGATACCCCCAGGTTTTGCTTGCCCTTAGCCATAAGGCCCTCAGAGAAAGCAAGGGACAAAAGAGACTCCCATTTCCATAAACTGGGCTTAAAGCTGCTACATCTCAGTGGGTATTAAACCATGCTAGAAGATCAGCTCTCCTGCAGTGTGGTTCAGGAGAACAGCTTTTATGGACACAGATACATGGTATTTCCCCTGCCAGGTTAAAAATCCACTACACTTGACCTGAGCCTTCAAGAAGCCAAGAAGTGATCCAGATGATCTAGAAAGGCATACAAACTACACATGACATTAGTACAAAAGTAATTTACTGTACTATTTATTGGGCTGGACCCCAGCAAAGTCAATAACCTTTCAAGTCATGGTGAACTCACAGCTTACCACTGCTCAATATGTGCATGTACTCCAGATAATACCTACAAAGCATCCATGTACTAATTAGCACTCCCCCCACCCTCACAATTGGAACTGGGTGTTCTTGTCATGAGTCCTGGGATCCTCCAAAAAATTATATGCAGATGAGGTGCAGGGCAACCTGGTCCAGCTCTACCTCAGGGAAGTTGGAGCCACATTAATCATGTGCACCAGGCTGAGAGAGGGGCCACAGACGGATTCTGGGTGAACTGTTTAGGGTTCTGTTTGGTAATGTTTGCCAGACATTTAAGGCTGGTGAAAAACTAGGAATTATTGGGAATGGCAAAAAAGGTGCAGTTCACTATGGGAGTTGAGGAAGTTGAAATATATTTAACATAGTAGCTTAGCAAGACTGGAAAAAGGATCAGTGCTGAGGGGGGCTGAGTGCAATGGGCACTGCTGTGTATCTTATTTAGATGGCCTGCACTAACCTATCCTGATTGCACAATTTTGTGGCAATGGGGGAGATACCACAATCATTAAGTTGGTTTCCCTCGGATCAGGAAGATGGTTTTAGATTGAGTGTAGTGTTCTTCTTTCCAGTTCAGGTACAAAAACTTGGGCTGACTCCCATGTGAGTTGTGAGGGGGAGTGAAAACCCTGAACCTTGGAGTTGCTGTGCTCCGGGTCAGGGGACACAAAAAATGGAGATAAGTGAAAGTGGAGGTCCTGAAAGAATTGGCCCTGGAATCAAGAAAATCAGCCCCTGGAGAAAGATGACTTCATAGTCAAGATCATGAAAGACTTTCTCAAGGTAAATATGAGACGTTTGAATGACCTGTTTTGCATGCAAAATGGGGTAAAGTTTAAACTGAACTTCAAAGATCTGCATCTGAAAGGGACTGAATTTGTCATGGGAGGCAAGAGAGGAAAGAAACTGATTATAGTCCAGATGTACACAGCCCAGATAAAAGAAGCAGCTGTGAGTTTTTAGCTTAGAAGATATTGCAAAAAAGTAGGGAAAGTAGAGCAAGTGATAGACAGGCATGGGTTACGGATGGGAGCCTGGAAAGCCAAAGCAATAGTAAAGCAAACCTGGGAACCCAGATGACGTGCAATACCTCTCCCCCACAATCTCTCTGAGACCCCACAGGGGTTTCATCTTTTACCAGGGATAACCCAAGCTCTGTTGTAAATGTGGGGAGCAGAGGGATATAGTGCAATGCATAACTAAAATCTGTGCCATGTGCAAAGAAAAAGGGCATGAAGCCAAGGACTGTAAGCAGGACAGGCAGTGCAATTTTGTGGAGAAGAAGGGCACATCTTTCAAGATTGCCCCCAGTCCTATGGTAATGTACATAAAAGCAAAAACGAAGAGAGGAATGCAGAAACCCCAGCATCCTCTTCCCCCATCTTCCTGGTCACATCTGGTGGCAGAAAAGGTCCAGGAAAGGGAGGGAACAGAAGGACAAGACCCCTCCAGAAAGGAGAACCTAATTTAGAAACAAGAAAATGTGACAGCCCTAAGTCAGATGGTTGAGGACCTTGGGAAAAAGGAGGGGGAGAAGGATTTCACTG